AGAGGGGGAAAAAGAGGGAGACAGGCATGCCGGGGCTGAGGCCGGGGAGTCATGACATATTGATCTACAGTAACTTTAGTTTTACTTCATACTATGAGTATTTTCAGACTTTCAGGCCCTTTAAGTGCATCGAGGAGGGTCCAGATTCATAATTCTAATTGACATTTTCCATCATTTCTGAGCCTCATAACTCCATAAGTACTCGAGATAGACACAGGAAATGTCAAGAGATGAAAAACACATTTGAGCTGTTGAAGTTTTAACTATTTTACGATAAGTTTTAAGTTATTTGGGGGAAGTTTCAAGACATTTTGGACAAGTTTGGAATAGTTTTGGAAAATTTTTAAAACATTACTTCTGTTAAGCAGATAGACACATGAAACTTTCGGGGCTAAAAAACAAATTTGAACTCTGTTAAAACTGCAACCAGATCAGTTTTACATCCGTCCAGGCGTCACAATCTAAAGACTAAATCAGTTTTCTGTTTATTTTTTCTATAACTAGCATTGAGCATCAATATTATGGGATATGTCAGAGTTTCAACAGTGAAACTGCAGCACTTTAACGTCATTTAATGCATTTAATGCATCGGTACCCTGGATGTGTTTTCTTTTTTCTGATAATTCACCAGAGAAAACTTTAAAAAGTGCACGTTTGGTAAACCTACAAGGCTCCTATCATGTCATATAGACAATAAAAGGTCTTATTTTTACACACATTTGAGACCAGGATCATCTTCTAAACACGATGCTTCTGGATCAGAACACCTCTAATGTATTCAAATTCTAAATGACTATGAAAACACACAAAAGAAAAAAAACACTCAAAATAACCACAAAAGCGACAAAATGAACAGGAAGAGAAAGAAAACACAAAACTGTTTTGGGGTTTACGTATTTTATAGAACAGACTGAACAAATCTCATTGATCAAAGCTGATCAGTCTTTCAGATTCTCCTCTGATGGTGTTCAGTTCTTCTTCTGTCACTTTTAATTCTTTCAGTAAATTGAATCTCATGCGTCTATGTTAGTAAATGATTTTGCCACAGAAGGAGCCGTGTCTAGAAGATGATTCTGGTGTCAAATGCAGGTAAATATGAGACTTTTCACTGTCTATAACTTGGTCTGACCAACCATCTGTCACACATGCTGATATGAGCCTTGAAAGTTTATCCAAAGCCCACTTTTTAAAGTTTTCTCTGCTGAATAGTCCAACAACAGAAAACACATCCAGGTTACTGATGCTTGCTGTCATAAACTGCTGCAGGTTTCCCGTTGAAACTCTGATATATCCCATAATATTGAGGCTCAAAGCTGGTTATAGAAAAAATGAACCAAAACTGGATTTAGTCTTTAGATATGTGACGCCTGGACGGATGTAAAACTGATCTGGTTGCAGTTTTTAACAGAATTCAAATGTATTTGCTATTCCTAAAAATTATTTGATCTCCTGCATGTATAAAGTTATGAGGCTCAGAAAAGATGGAAAAGTGTTCAATTTGAACCGACCCCTATGTATTCAAGGGGGAAATATTCATACTACAAAGGTAAAACTTTGCGTGGCGTCATTAAATACACTAAAGTTACTGTAGATAAACAATCAGCTAATTCTAGGGAGGGTTTGAAACTTTTCATGAATTGACCATCTGGCGTCTCTTTTCCTTCCCGCCTCCTTCTGTCTCTGTAGAATCTGATGTCATAAACTCTCTGGCAGACTTGAGTCAACATATGATGGCATGTTAAGGTTTAACCTGAAATCTAGAGGAGCAAATTCACAAAAAAAAACAAAAAAAAAGGTGACTGACTGACTTTCTGTATGTGCAGCAGTAGAGGATTAGCTGGTGCAGCTCGCCGCCTGTAATTAACACAAACAAGTCAGATTTGTAAGAGACAAGAGAGCTAATTAGAGCACAGGACGATGTGGGAAACATGAAACAATGCAGCAGGGATGGGATACGAATAGTTGCTCTGTGAATGACAAAACCTCGGGTCTGTTTGGACAAAACCACCCAGAAAACCTGAGAACGTTAGTCAGAGTTTCAGGTCAATTCTGCTTCACAACAACTTTACGACATTTCCCTCGACAAAGATACCATCGAGATCCGAGCACGGGGCAACTGCAGCAAGTAAACAGGTTGACTGTTTGGCCACGCTGGTGTAAAACGGCTTCAAAACACACTTCTTGTAACTAAAACATTGCGTTTTAAACTAGTTTATACTTAAACCCAATGAAACACAAAACAATTCTGCGCTTTTAAATTCTTCTTTAAATTACATTTTTGTGTTTCTTTTCACAGGCCTTTAAAATACAGAGCGGTGGGTCCAGTGGGTCCACTTTTCATTTCCTTTTTCCATCATTTGTGGGCCCCATAACTTCATCGGTACAGCAGACAGAAATTTTAAAGGAATGAAAAACACATTTGAATTGTTTAAACCTGCAACTACATCAATTGGTCAAAACTAGTCAGAGCAAATTAAAGGTCTCCTTTTCACCTACATTTTGGGGCTCATATTCCAGCCACGATTCCTTTTCTCTGGTTTCGAGTAATTTTGGACAACTTATGTCATTATATACACGTTTCAAGACATTCTGGATAAGTTTGGAATCATTTTGGTTATGTTTCGAGGCATTTGGGGGTTTTTTGGGGATTTGTTTTATAACATTTTGGACAAGTTTTTATTTTTTTAACAACAGGGTTTGAGTCATTTTGGGAAAGTTTCAAGACATTTTGGACAAGTTTGGAATTGTTTTGGACAATTTTTTGAAAGATTTCACAAGTACAGGAGATTGACATTGAAATTTTTTAGGGCTGAAAAACAAACTGCAACTGAATCAAATTTAAATCCACTCTGGATGTCACAATCTGGTCAAAACAAGGTATCACAAATCAAATGTGTCATTTTTACCTATACTGCTTCTTACAGTGTTTTCTTTCTTTTCTTTTTTTTTTTCTTTTTTCAAATCCTGTTATTATTCAAATTGTCCCTGTTTTGTTAAATTACAGATAATAAGACTAAGTAGCCCCCTACACCGTGTACTGCTGCAACAAACATTTTCACTCTTTAACTGTGATCTCTCACATTCATGTAAAACTGCTTTAAAACACACATTTTGTCAGTCAAACCTCCAGTTTTAAATTCTTCCCCATTTAAACAAAAGCAAAGCAGAACAAAATCATTTGAAATAACTGTAAACATGAGACACGACTAGTTCTCTCAGATGTGTGTGAAAGTCTCAGGAACAATTAAACATCAATTTTATCGGTTGTTTGCCATCATGTCATTGATTCGTCTGTGATATTGGATCAGACTGTCTACCAATATTTTGGCTTCTGTGATAAACTTGTCAAAGCTGCTCCATAACTTTTCAAACTAAAATAACTTTCTTTTCAGTATTTTATACTAAAAGTATTCTATGTGTTTAGTTTTGTATTATTGTGATGTTCAGCTGACTTCTGCATTATCACATTTTTTATACCAACTTGTTTGACATTGCAGGTTCTGAATCAATGACATGATAAGAAACAACAGTGAAAATGTGAAGCTTTTATCTTCAGTACTTTCTGAGATACTGTCGTTCAAACAGCCTCAAATTTTAATGTGCAAAAAAAAACACTGCTTCAAGTGGGTTAATGGGCAATTTTTAAAAAAAGTTTATCGAAAAGTATTTTAAATATCAAGCTAAAGTTTTACAAATATGTTCATAAATGTCCATATTTTATGCAAAAAACATTTAAACATTTCAAGCACATCAGAAGTAAGAATCTGAGGCTCTGATGTTTTCAGGCTGATTCTCTGAATGTTTCTTCTGATGAGCTTCAGGTTCTGCTGTTCTCGGGTGCTGTCGGGATGAGATATGATAGCAACGGGGTCAGTTATATTTGTGAAGCTTTATGTTATGTTCTTAACCTTCTCTTCTCCCCTTTTTCCCTTGTTTCTCTCCCTGCAGTGCATCAGCGGCATTAGTTTTCCTGCTTTCCCTCATGCGTCTGTACAAATGGCTGTTACAACTAAAGCCTGTGCTAACTTTCTCTTTCTTCCCTCCCCCTCCATTCCTCCCCTTCCATGTCTCTCTGCAGTGTGGTTGCACTTCTATCGTGGAATTCTTTTGATATTCCATCTATATACATATAGCAATCAGGGCAGTGCTTGTTTTTTGTTGATGTATTGTATTTATGTATATATTTGAGGTCATGGACGATGTGCAGACGCAAACTTTAAAGTGATTTCTCAGCGTACATCTGATCAGCGTTGTGTATTTCCTGTCCTCTCCTTCATTCCCCTCCCTCCATCTTACAATTCAAAACAAAAGCTTCCCCAGAGGTCAAAGTTGAAAATAGCACAAGATCATTGGTTGAGAGCGATGCTGAGGCCTCAGTGGAAACTGCAAGGTGCAGTGTGAGACAGAAACATTTGGAGTTACAGGTGTGTAACTCCTGGCCGATGAGAAGTATGTGTCATGATGATGATGGCATATATAGACTCACGCTTCTATATATGAATTTAGCTCAGTTAGCAATCCACAGAATGCAAGAAAACAGTATCGCTCACTGCAAGCTCTTTATTTCCTCTCAGTGTCATACGTTAAAAAACACCTAAAAATCTAAATTACTGCAAAACCAAATCCATCAAAATTCACAATAATCTGTGATTTCAAGTGAAGAGTGGAAATAAAAACAATGCAAGACAAAAGCTATGGCCGATACAAAAAAAGACAAAAAAACAAAACAAACAAAAGACACGCATGCAATGAGCATTGGGAGAAAGCATGCAAAAATACAAACATTACTGCAGCTATCGTTGTTTTCTGAAGTACTGTTTAGACAGTTTGCCTGCGAGTACTGAGAAAACACCAGAGCTCTGGCCAACCTTACCTGGAGTCACGGGTCCATGAAGCAGAGACCGACGACTCTGACCTCTGACCCTGTGACCTGCACACAAACAGCAGCAAAGCAATGAGGAGGTTCTAACTGAGTTTTCTTCATCCTCTGGACTCTGTAGCATCTTTGTGCCATGGAGCCTGCGTGGAGGTGGACTCGGACACGGAGGCCGTGGCCAACGAAGGCTTCAAGCTGGGCTGCATCTCCTGTAAGATGAGAGGCGAAGTTCCCGCCACGGCCTCCGTCAAATGGTACTTCAAGGCTTCAGATGAGACCGAATTTTCAGAAGTAAGAGGTCAAATGATGCAAGAAAGTTTTGAAAATGTTGCACTCTGTAAAGAAACAGTTTCTTGTGTTGAGAAGTAGCAGAGAAGATCGATCCCACTCTTGTGTCCGTACAGCAAATACAAGCGCAGAACTAGAATACAGCTAGCCTTGCTGAGCACAGTGACTAGCTAGAATTTTTTTTGTTTCAAAAACATTCTGAGAAAGTTCTGCAAAGTTCTACTAATATTTCAGCCAAAAGTTTTCTTTTAGTTTCGCAGAATGTTCCTAAAAGTAGGATAATTAAACAAAATATTCACGTTTTGGTGGAACGTTGTATAGATTCTGTCGTGTGTTACATCAACGACAACATCATCAGAACATTACAGGCAGGATTTTCCACTTTTGCTAAAATGTTGCATTCCTTTGTTATCATTGGGGAAACATTTCGTAGAAGAACATTCTATTATGTGTTCCCTCAACAACGTTGTGGAAAAAATCCTCCGGGGCCTCAGTTTTCAGTTGTTGGTTTGAAAACGTTTCTTTGTTATTATAGAACTTTTTATATTACATCATTATGTTAACTTTATAGGTTACTGGAAATGAAAATAAATTAAAATGTACAATGAACATTTGAAATATTTTCTTTAAAAAAATACGAAACTTGGAGGTACTGTTAGCTGATATACTGGAAACGTTTCATGCTAGCTGGAGAAGCAGCTAGCTTGGTCTTTTAAAATTCAACAAATCCACCAACACCTTTAAAGCTCACTGACCAACACTTTTAACCCTGTCTGTTTATTGTGTGCAAAAACCAAAGTGTTAAAATACCAATTTGTTGCTATTGCAGAGCCTCACAGACTTGGGTGGATGACGAAATATCTGAATTCTTGTAGCCAATAGAAAACATGAATTGGGTTGAGTAACAATAACAATTTGCCTGTAGCTGTTCCATGTGTCCACAAGGGACTTTTTTCAGGGCTTAACCAGAGCAGCTGTCCCGCTTCCCAACAACATTTCCAGTTTCTCCTCTGGGATCCCAGGCCAGATGAGATATGTAATTCCTTCAGCAAGTTCAGAGTCTACCCCCGAGTCTCCTCCCAGGTATCCTAATCAGATGTTGAACCAACTCAGCTGGATCCTTTTGACACAAAGGAGTATACTCCTCACCTCATCTATACGGCCGGTGTTAAGCCTTATGCCTACTCCCTTGCAAACGCTCACAGACGCATAGTTGTTGATATTATATTACATTTCCAGTGAGTGTAAATCCACTTGGGAGTACCTGTCTATGTATTCTACATATACAAGCTACTGCCCTTGTAGCATAGACATTAAAAATATAATCTGCGTAGACCAGTAGTGCGCATGCTTGGACTATGTAGACATGACCTACTGCACATGTAAGCAAAAGAGTCTTTCAAGGAGTATAATCAAGGTTTAATCAGATCGTTCAAGATATCCCTCTTTCCTGCAACATTTTAAAGTTGTTCCTGGGGGATTCTGAGGCGTTATTAGGCCAGATGAGATATACACTATATTGCCAAAAGTATTTGCTCACCTGCCTTGACTCACATATGAACTGAAGTGACATCCCATTCCTAATCCATAGGGTTTAATATGACGTTGGTCCACCCTTTGCAGCTACAACAGCTTCAACTCTTCTGGAAAGGCTGTCCACAAGGTTTAGGAGTGTGTTTATGGGAATTTTTGACCCTTCTTCCAGAAGCACATTTGTGCGGTCACACACTGATGTTAGATGAGAAGGCCTGGCTCTCAGTCTCTGCTGTAATTAATTCCAAAGGTGTTCTGTTGGGTTGAGGTCAGGACTCTGTGCAGGCCAGTCAAGTTCTTCCACACCAAACTCTCTCATCCATGTCTTTATGGACCTTGCCTTTTGCACTGGTGCACAATCATGCTGGAAGAGGAAGAGGCCATCTCCAAACTGTTCCCACAAAGTTGGGAGCATGGAATTGTCCAAAATCTCTTGGTATGCTGAAGCATTCAGAGTACCTTTCACTGTGACTAAGGGGCCAAGCCCAGCTCCTGAAAAACAACCCCACACCATAATCCCCTTTCCACCAAACTTTACACTTGGCACAATGCAGTCAGACAAGTATCGTTCTCCTGGCAACCGCCAAACCCAGACTCGTCCATCAGATTTCCAGATGGAGAAGCATGATTTGTCACTCCAGAGAACGCATCTCCACCGCTCTAGAGTCCAGTGGCGGTGTGCTTTCCACCTC